GAAAGGCATAATTCTTTTGGCATTAGTGTGTAACTCAGCCCATCACGATAAAAATGTAGAAAGGATCCGATTATTATTAATATATAGCTTAATGAGTGAAAGCTATGAATGTAAAAAGCACTCCGTGATTAACAAATATTTTCACTTCCACCTAAAGTACAGGTTGTAGGGATGTGCACAACTTCCCTAAGTCACGCGAGTTAAATCCCAGAGCTGCCATAAGCCACCTTAAGCACCATTTATTCCGTTACGTACCTTCGTAAATTAGCAAGTCAAACAGGGCCCGCGCGGAGGGGCCGGGGGAGAGCGGAGGTTTTAACTACCACCCGCTGGCCACGTAAAGTGCTTTGAAATGTACAAAGGAGCACGGATTTTGGAAGCTCCCCTCTGCTAATCGACAAGTTAACTTTTCTAGCTGCCAGTGTCTCATAGTAAAACGTAAGTGATATTTTACTTATCTCTATAGGCTTATTCTAAGGAATAAATGAAATTAAATGTCTGTCCTTTAAAAATGTTAGTGTTCCTCAGGATTCCTTCCTACTTTTTGTTCCAGAGATCTTATGCATTTCTAGGGTTTCCATTACATGTGCTGCTCACTTCCAAAACTTGGCCTCCAGGCCACCAATGGTTTTGAAGGAAGGAGTGACAAGATCTGACTTAAAGAATTATTTAGAAAACTGAAGGGGGAACAAGGGAAGAAGCAGGGAGATTGGTAAGGAAACTACTGTAATAAACATAATAGATGCTCAGAATATATCTGTTCATGATAGGAAAGTGATTGACACAGTGAATGATGGCAGCTAATTACTTATCATGAGCTAGAGAAAATTCTTTTTTAAAAGATATGTTTTTATTGATTTTTAGAGAGAGAGGGAGAGGGATAGAGAGATAGAAATATCAATGACAGAGAAACATCATCCATCGGCTGCCTCCTGCATGCCCCCTACTGGGGACCTAGCCCAGAACCCAGGCATGTGTCCCAGGAATCTATCTAAGGGGTGGCTCTTGGTGCCTGGGGCAATGCTCAACCACTGAGCCACACTGGCCAGGCAATAACATTCTGTGTATTAAAATCATCTAATCGTTAGAGCAACTCTGTGAAATACTATTATTATTCCCATTCTGTAGATTAGGAATTGTGGTCCAGAGAAATAAATAATTTACCAAAAGTCATACGTAGGTAGGTTTGCTCCAGAGCACACTTTTTTTAAAAATAAGTTTTTATTGATCTCAGAGAGAGGAAGGGAGAGGGAGATTGAAACATCCATGAGAGTAATCAATAGGCCAAAACCTGGGTATGTGCCCTGACCCTGAATCGAACTGTGACCTCCTGGTTCATAGGTCGCTGCTCAACCACTGAGCCACACCAGCCAGGCTGGAGCACACACTTTTAATCATTACACTATACTGTCTAGTAGTAGGAGCTCAATAAATAAACCACCAGGGCACATGGTGCTGACCTCTAAAGATCTAGCTGGCTGAGCAGCCAGATGAAAACTAAAACAGAGATTCTTGAAAAATCCTCACACAGACACACACCTAATAAAGACATCAGACTAGGAAACGTGAGATGGAAGAGTTCTAGCTGATATTTGGGGAACATATTTCCTCTCTTGGCTTTCTTATTTATATCAGTATTTTGAGGGTTGAGCATTCCCTGTGAGATGTTATAAAGCAGTCCCTGTGAAACTTGTCCAATGAGTGGTATAGAGCACAGGTCAGTGCAGTGACCTGAGATCTAGCTCATGGAAGATAGTAGAAGAGACAGAAAAGTATAAGGCATGTTGTGATGAAAGGGAGTTAACATGTTTGGTCAGAGCACAGCTAATGCCTATCAATTATGTTCATTCCAGTAAAAAAAAAAAAACTAATAAGAGCGCTAATTTCTTTGTCTTTTACACCAGGGAGCCAACTTAATGGAAAATTCATTAAGAGCAGGGTGATTATCATCTGTAGTATATAATATTGATCTGAAAGTGCCAGAAAATGCAATTGGACATTCTGTTGAACAAAATAAGAGGTAACCTGGCCAGTGTTGCTCAGTGGTTGAGAGTCAACCCATGAACCAGGAGGTCATGGTTTGATTTCCAGTCAGGGCACATGCCCAGGTTGCAGGCTCAATCCCCAGTAGGGGGCATGCAGGAGGCAGCTGATCAATGCTTCTTTCTCATCATTGATATTTCTATCCCTCTCTCCCTCTTGCTTCCTCTCTCTGAAATCAATATATATATATATATATATATATATTTTTTTTTTTTTTTTTTTTTTTT